AACCAGTTCGCCAGGAGGAGGAGGAGGAGGAGGAGGAGGAGGAAAACAAGGAAGACAAGAAGTTTCAAAACGTTTTTCACCTCGCGGGTCTTGAGGAACTTATCGGAGGGTGAAGTCTGACTTCTCCTACTCTTAGCAGCTGAAAAAATTCCTGAAACCCAAAATTTCAACAGCCTCCCTCCCCATCCCCTCAACTGAATCTTCAAATCCCCCACCACCACAAGCAGCCGCTCATCGACCGACATGACCATCACCAGTCCCTTTCCCCCTCTCTCCCCTCCTCCTTCCCCTCCTCCTTCCCCTCCTCCTTCCCCTCCTCCTTCCCCTCCTCCTTCCCCTCCTCTTCGTCAACTTGCCTGGTGTGGATGGGTACGCGTCTCTGGTCTGCAGCAGCTCTCGTTCAGGCAGGCTGCTCGAACTCTGGACCATCTTCTCCTCCCCCATCACATCCCCGCTGTTGTTGAGCAGATAGGAGATCAGGCCTGACAAGCAATGAGAAAAGCTCTCTTCCTCCAACTTTCTCCTTTTTCTTCCCTTCTCCATTCCTCTTCGTCTTTCTGCTTCTCCTCCTTCTCCTCCTTCTCCTCCTCAATACTGATCCTTACCCAGAATCTTGTTATCGTTGGATGCTCTCTTCTCCCTTCACTTCAGGTCAGCGAATCGCAACGAAGAGCAGGAGAACAAGAGAGCAAGGCATTCGCGCATGTGCCGCTCAACTCACACATCGCTCCTTGCGCTCTCGGTGAACTCAAGAGCTTGGATGAGTGCGTTCCTGCTTCTCACTCAAACGAGTTGCAATTTGACAAGTAATCCCTCAATGATCTAGTGCCCTCCTTCTTTTCCGTCCACTGCTCCTTCTCCCCCGCCCCCCTCTCTTTCTCTTCTTCATTCTTGTTCAACAGATCTTCCCTCATCCTCCTCCCTCACCTCAATTTCTCTACTTCCTTTCGGAGACCTCCAGCCTGTTGAGATCTGAGTCGATCGAAAGAAAGGAGAGGACGCTACCTCTGCTGCCTGCGTTGTTGCCTCATCGAGCTTCTGTCTAGCCACTGAATGGGTCCGCTGATGCAATGAAGAAGGTGAGGAAGAGCTGAGAGATGTGAAATGGAGATGAAAAGGAAAGAGAGCATGACCATACGAAGGAGGAGGAGGAAGAGGGGGGGGGGCGAAGCAACATATCGGCACTTAGCTAGTCCTCACCTTGAGCTGCTCATAGTTTTCTTCGACGGCCCTCAAACTCTTTTGCAGCTGTCAAACTTATCAGAAAAATGGAGAGAGGAACGTGGGCAGGAGCAGAACACTATGATAGAGTAGACAGCAGGTAGGTTAAAGGAGGTAAGGGATCGAGTAAGGGAGATAAAATGACCTCCTCAAAACGAACATCAGCCTGTTGTTTCTCAGAACGTAGCTCTTGGATAGTCTTGGAGGACTACGAAGACATTTCAGATGAGAATTGAGGAGAGAAAGTGGGAAGGATTGCTTCTGTGAAAGAAAGAAATATGACCATGCAGATGCTGGATCCAATAGAAGATGATAGAAGGAGTGGAGAGGAAGAAGAAGTGAATGCCAGAGGGAGCTAAAGGATTACCTCTTTTTCCTTCTCATTCGCTTCCTTCTGCATTTTCTGGCTTATCGCGTAAGAGATAAAAGCTCGCATTTATGTTCTACTTCATTTGTCTCTTCGAGCTCTCTGCAGAAATCTTCCAGTTCTTGACATCGAGCAATCAACTTCTGCAGAAACAAGTTGGACAAGGAAACAACAAGACCAAGCTGAGTCAACAAAGGGTAGAATCTGCAGAACCTGGTTGTTATTTTGCAGACGAACAAGGTACTCGTTGAGTCGCTGTTTCTCAGACTGAAAGGACATAAATATTACGATACCATCAATGATTGTCAGAGTCAGACAAGATCCCTTCAGTGAGATCTAGAAACAAGCATTGTCGACTACTCGCCTGCTCGTTAGAATCCGACGCAGACAATTTCTGTTCCCAAGTCTGAAGATTGTGACATGTTACATGGAGATGGGGATAGGCAATGAGACGAACCTTGAGCAGAACAATCTCTTCCTGCTGCCTCTTGATAGTCTCTTCCTTCTCCCGCACGCTTCCTTTTGTCTGAGCAATGAAGAATTAATAGATGAGCCGAAGACTCTGAGGAAGAGCGAGGATGAGGGAGCTTTAAATACGAGTTGTATAGGATGAAAAGAAAGAACATGATTAAGGAGCTTGATATTTCCGACCTCGTTCAAATCTGCAGAAAGAGAAGACGCCGTCTGTGTCATTTCTTCCATCTGCAAACGATGGTGAGGAGAACGAAATTGCTACATGGGAGGAGTAGAGGGCAAGAGTAAGATCGGTTGAGATGAAAGCAGGCGATCACAGATGACAGCAGGCGATCATAGAATGTGAAGGGAAAGGAAAGTAAGTTCAAAGAAGTCTTAGTAACAAGCAAGGATTGATGAAGGGGAAGGAGAACACTTGAAGTTGCGGACCTTTTGGTAAGCCTCCTCAAGGGCGTCCCTTAGCGTCGAGATTTCATCCTGCAACGACCGATCAAGAATTTGAACAAAATCAAGATCAAATACAACAGCAACAGCAACAGCAACAGCAACAGCAAAAGCAACAGCAACAGCAAAAGCAACAGCAACAGCAACAGCAACAGCAACAGCAAAAGCAACAGCAACAGCAACAGCAAAAGCAACAGCAACAGCAACAGCAACAGCAACAGCAAAAGCAACAGCAACAGCAAAAGCAACAGCAAAAGCAACAGCAACAGAGAGTACCTTCTGCGACTCAAAGGCTCCGCTGATTGAGATATAGCTCCTCTCATACTCTTCAAGTTTCACCAGACGCTCCCTTGCATGATCCAACCTGTAAAGATTTTGTCAGGTTAACCTCATCAGAGGTAGCTGTCTCAACTTCAGCATCAGCAAAAACATTCACAGAATTACTCTCATCAATTTCCCACGTTACATTATTATCAGTTTGATTCGTATCAGAACATGTTCAACACCCTCATTTCCCTCTTGCAGTATCATAATTTCCTCAAAATCGTCTTTTCCATCTTCTTTCCTTGCTCTTTTTAAGCTTTCGGAAATCACATGGCAAAACATGCAGACATGACAAAAAAGGTCCCAAAAAGGTCCAAAACATCGTACTTGTGAGTAAGAAGTGATACTTCTGACTGCAACTCGAAGCAATGTTTTTCCTTTGACCTCAGCTCCAGCTGATGTCAACATGTCAGTATGAAACTTTCAGTGCCTCACATTGCTGTCCCTTCACCTGTAGAGATTGGTCGACACTATCACGAGAGCTGATCTTGTTGTGCAGTTGGTCGATCTCATTTTTCAGCCGCTGACATTCTTGCTGGTAGATTTCTTCTTTCAACTTGCTTTCTTGCGCCTGCGGGCAGTCAGTCAACGAGCAACGTTATGCAAAGTTGCACCTTCAGTTTTGTGCTCTCGAGCTCATTCCGTGCCTTAAGGACTCATTCTTAGTACCAAAGCTTGAATGTCAAAATGAGATGAATCAATCACCAACTGCAGCTCTCGATTTGATTCTGAAATCCTCGAGTCTGATCTCTCTGAAAGCTCTTGTTCCCTTCCCTTCGCCAACTTAAGCTCTTCTTTAACCTTCAGCAAGGAAAGCTGTCAGTGCTATCTCAAAAATTGCAACTTGATACCTGCAGAGCCGTCTGCTCCAGCACTTTCTTTGTTTCTTGCATCAGCAGACACTCCTTCTGAGATTGTATCAATTGTTCGTGCATGCGAGCAAGCTGAGATTCAATCGACTCCACATTTTGCTGGTTCATGTTCCTTTCGGACTCAATCTGATTGATGAGCTTGACGTTCAGCTCTTTCAACTCCTCGATCGTTTCTTTTGTCATCTCTTCACTCTCGGTCAGCTTCTCCAGCGCTTCATCTCTCTCACTTTCCGCTCTCTCTTTCGCACTGTTTGCAGCGGCCAACGAGGCAGCAAGAGCTTGACAATTCTGTGAGTCGGCCTCTGCTTTTGCAGCAATCTTTTGCAGCAGCTCGTTCACTTCTTCTCGTGCATCAAAATGAAGCTTCGAGACATGCTTGTGAAGCTGTTCACTCTCTTGCAGCTGAGCGTGCAAAGCATCGTTCTCCTCTGTCAGGTGTGTTATGCGGTCAAGGCAGTCAGACAATCTTTCTCGAAGAACTTCTTCCACCCTTGACGATGAAGCAGTCTTCCTCCCTCCTGAGTTTCCAGGTGAGTCCAGTTCCTTCCCTGCATTGCTCGACATGGACATTCTTCTCGTCCCGTGACTAGGTGAATCCTTCAAAGAAGACTTTGACGTGTTGAATTCCCCAGAATGCAGCTGAGACAAGAGCTTTGGTGTGTGCGCCTGATCCCCTCTATCTGATGATTTCTTCTGGCGAACCCTTGTGGAGGTTGGCGTCAGCCTCCGGGAAGACATGTACCTTTTTCACAACTTGAACTTTTATTTGCTTGTCCTTCGATTGCTCTCGTCGACGAGGGATTGTTATCTCCTGCTTGATTGCTTGTTTTGTCACTGTTCCGCGCTCTCGATTTCTGTACCCTTTTTCTTTCTCTTCCTCTCCCTCTCCTCCTTTCCTCAAGTTCTTCCTCTTGTCTCACGCATGAGATCCTCCTTTTACTTCAAACGGTCTCTGCACTACCCACCCTTTCATGCTGGATCCCCCAGCCTCCCAGCCACCCACAGGGAAAGTGGTACTTATTATTACATGACTGTCCGATGGTCTCCTCTACCACCCCTACCCCAGCATCTATGGACCCCCGGAAAAAAAAGTCAAGACAGACAAAAACATCACTTTTATCCAGTGATTGCGTGAGCTCTTGTTGAGAGATTACCTGAACTCTGTGGCAAAACATGCCGGGGAGAGGAGAGTGCAGGAGAAGAGGAAGAAGAGCAGAGGTGAGGAGAACAGGAGGGGAGCAAGACAAAGAGCGAGACATCAGGGTAGGAATTGAGACATGAATTTGAAAAGCAAAGACATGTAGAATTTCAGAGTATTAGAGTCAAGAGATGGTCAAGTCTGATGGAACAAACAATGAAGCACAGTGAAAGATAACGGAGAATCCAGACAAGGAGAAAAAGGAGCAAACTTAGACGGAGGAGCAGGTGTGTCGAATGAAAGAATCTAAACAAGAGTAATGTCAACTCAAAGTTTATAATAAAGTCTAGTCAAATTTCAAGACTATCGCTTCAAGGAGGTCTCCGTTTGCGATCTTTGAAAGCGTGCTGACTTTTCAGCACTTCTCCACCTTTGCTGGCGGCTGGTCAGACGAATTGTCGACCTCCTCGCATTTTCTCTTTTTCGGAGAGTTGTTCTTGTTTGGAGTGGCTTGTCCTGACTTCTGCATTTCCTGTTAAGAAAAAGTTGAGTTTCAAGAAGTTTTCTGATTAAGAAGATATACTTCTGCTTTGAAGCCTTCTTCCTTTTCCTTATCCTCTTCAGCACCTTGTTCTTGGATCTCCGAGATCGCCTCAACCTGAGGGGGGAGGGGATCAGAATTCTCTTTTGCGGTAAATCTCACTTGAATCATTTTTTACCTTTTCGGTTGCGTTGGAGTCCTCAATCGTTGAATTCTGAAGGAATGTATTCAGTTGAACATCAAGATTTAACCAATTTGACAGATCATCAATGATGGAGATAGATGTACCTCAGAGGTCTTCTCTTGAGTTGGTGACTGATTGTTGTCAACTGATTTCTCAACACATACTTCCTCCGACTTCTCCGTATCCTTCTTTTCTTCATCATTCATCTTGTCATTAACTTCTTCGGTTTTATCGTTGTTATTGAGCTGGAAAGGTTGTGAGGACTCCCAAATAAAATCTCTCTAACAAAAAGAGAACAAGACCTCATTAGACGTATCATTCTTGGCATCCGGCGCGTTAGAGTTGTCGGGTTGATCGGCTTGAGGCTTATCATCTCCTTTGAGCTCGGGGGTATTGTCTTCCTTGACTTCGGGAGCGACCTCTCCTTCATTCACTTGCTGGAGAAAGAATCTATCATAAGCCGGCATTACAGAGAGTGCAGTTCACCTTCTCCACCTCATTGTCAGAGATTTGAGGAGCGATGTCAGTCTGATTCGTCTGCGTGGCCATGGCAGTGGGCAGGGCTCGAGGGTGGCAGGAGGCAGGGCTCGAGCAGCTTAAGTAGGGAGGGAGGGGCCGCAAGGGGGAGGGCGGGAAGGCGGGAAGGCGGGAAATGTTTGTTGAGCCACAAACCTGGTACCCACCCCTATTTTCCCACATAAACATGGGTAGTCAGACTTCGGAAGAATTGTTTTGTACCAGAGTTGCAGGGATGTTTGATTTTTGTACTGTGAGAGAAAATTATTTGTATATGATTTTCAATTAGATCTTGAATTAGTACCAAGAAAATATCGATGGAATGTACCACAAAAATTATGAATTTCTAAAAAAGAAAGATTTGTAGGGACTTCACTCTACACTTTGTACCAAAAGGTTGCAATGGGTAATGATGTTTGGGTTCCTGTGGTACAATCTTGGTACAAATAAGTTGAAACTCAGTACTAAAGTTTGTGGGATTTTCAAAATTCAATTTGAAGGTCCTAGCGTGTAGGGACAACATCTGGTAGTGAGATGGGGTGGTGTCAGAGAGTAGAACAGCAGGGGGGTAGACCAGCCGTACGGGGACGAGGACGACGAGGGGGTCGAGGATAAGGACGAGGACGAGGACGAGGACGGGGTAAAGGTTGAGGACGAGGACGAGATTGAGGACAAGGACGAGGACGAGGACGAGGACGAGGTCGAGGTCGAGGTCGAGGTCGAGGTCGAGGTCGAGGTCGAGGTCGAGGTCGAGGTCGAGGTCGAGGTCGAAGTCGATTACCATCAAGACTGCCAGGAAGATCAAGGTTGTTCTACGTTTTGGACAGGGCGGAAGGGAAAAAACCCTGAGTCTGCATCTAGACTGATGGAATACTCTGTAAACATGCTCTCGGAAGGGGAGGATCATGAAGTCGAAATGAAAGTTGGGTCAGCTATCTATATCGAAGAAGACATGGAAGTCGATGTCAACCACCAACCCTGCCATGGATCTATGAATTTATTGGAAGCTTATAAAGATCTTCAACTGAGGGCATTACAGGAAGTGCAGAAAGAAATCGAAGAGCATGAACTCAAAGCTGCTTCATTGAAGCAGAAGTTAAAAAAATTCAAAGATGAGCTGAAAAGAATGTACCCTGAACATGAACAATTTATAGATCATCTTGAACAAGGGTATATATCAGAGATTTGTGATGGTCTGACTGAACGACAAGCTAGGGATGCAACTCTAAAGAACGTAACAGAGGAATCAAGTACCCAAGGTGGACAGGCTGCAATGAAAACAATCGATAGCAATCTAAGTAAAGACCATCTGAGCATTGAAAAATCTGTGAGTGACTGTGACGACGGTACTTCGTGCTTTTCAAGGTCAATCTCCCTGCGATCTGGCAAATGTTCGAGAACAAGACCGTTGTGTTTGCTCACGGACCCTGGCTTTGTCTCAGAATATAATTTATGTGACAAGTCCCATGCACCTGGTCAAACTCGAGAATTGGATCAATGCAGGGGGCAAGAAGAAATGAATTCGGAAGGTCAGAACAAAGAAGTTGACTCAGACGGTGTCGAAGAGCAATTTTGTGAAAGTCTAGACGATGTGGAAAATTCATGCGATCTCTTATCTTCACAATCACCATCCGACTCTAAAACAATTGATTCTGACAAGGAAGAATATTCTAAACCAGCAGGAAGGAGAAAATCAGCTTCGAGTACAGCTATACCAAAACGTATCAATCCTAAAAAATCTCATCATGGCTCTAGGGTGCGGCTGCTGATCGAATCAATCATGAAATTGGAGGAGACAGGAGCCGTAAAAGTCTGGAAGGTTACAGCACAAAAAGCAAAATCAACAAGAATGTACCTACCATTTACAAAAATGGAGGTGCAAAACATGGAAGCCTTCATTCAAGAGGTAAGCTGTGAAGAAAAGTTTGATTTTTGAATGCCTAATCCCCATGCAGATCAATACAGTGTTTCGGCAACGATCAAGATCCTCTCGAAGTCGAGTGTCCAAGACAATGTGTGAAAATGCACGACAGGCGTTCCGTTACGCAAGCTTCTTGCCCTTCCAGCCACTTGAAGAGCAGAAGGTCAATTCTTGGGACGGTCAGGTCTATCAGTACTACGAGAGCTTCCGCAAGCTCAGGTTGGACAAGGCTAAGATGAACACGCTGAGAAGCAAGGCTCGGCTAAAAGAAAAGCAGTGAATGGTATTTAATCAAATCGAACTATTTGAAAAGATAAGTGAAAGTGACAATAAACCTCTTCATGAATATTTCAATGAACATGAACAGGTTTATCGTTATTGACCACGCAGGTTCCTCCAGGTGACATACTTACGATGTCTAGATCCGATCTTGATGTCATGCATGTCCTTGGGGATGAGAAGAAGCTCACAGACATGCCCCTCAAGACCGAGGTTGTAGGCCTCCTGGCATACGAGGCACAGGTGGATGGCGACGTCCCGATAGCCTGCCGTGCTCCATGGGTCTAGGTCGGGATCGAGACGGTTCTTGATCCGCTTGACGGAGATATCCTGGTCGAGCTTGATGCACCTTACCGCGACTATGATGTCTTGTATGTGCTCGTAGACGATGCTTTCTCGACAGACGTCGACTAGACGCGACGAGTCTCCGTCGTAGCACCGCACGACCTTCTCGACGCCTCGGGACGTTGACTTCTGCTTGCTCCACTCCACCTCTGCGTACTGCAGGACGTTGCCAGCTTCGAGCTCGCACTCGACAGTCCCACTCACGGAGGCCGACCGTCTTAGCTTTCGAAGACTTCGGTCATTGCCGGGCTTTCGCTTCAAAAGCCCATTGGATCTTCGAGCGATCTCGTACACTTTCCTTCGGAACACGTTTTGTATGATAGTCGCATGCAGGTAGATCTGATCGAGACTTGTGACTGGAGTGATCCAGTCATCTTGACTTGTTGCTGATCCAAGCCTCAGCATCGTCGAGATCGAAGTGCTGCGTGTTGTTCCTAATGGCTGATTCTTGTCTGTTGCTGCTGATCGCTTAGTCGGGATCCCGGCAATGAGAGCGCTATGTAGCCAGGAAGAGACCGAGCTCTTGCTACCTTCTTTCTGCAAAGGCTCATCAGGAAGTCTACGTCTAGTATGACGTGGAGGATCCTGTGAGCTCCATGTGAAGTGCTGAATGAATCCAAGCTCCTGAGTTGTTGAAGGAATTGTATTCTTTTCAGGTACGCGAATGCAAACGTCCGTTGATGGGGTGGAGCTCGGCGGAACAGGTGACACTTGGTTGTGCAGTATGGCCGCTATACATGCTATCTCAGTTTCTGACCATGAGCGCGCGCCATGGTTTCCTGGCCATCTTTCCCTAGGGAGATTGGACTTAAAAAAAGAGGAAAGCGACCGGCAGCATTCTTTTTTCAAGAAAAAAAGAACTGTAAAATGGAATTTCAGGTTGTACATCATGGCAGGGCAGTAGGAAGGAATGTCTGCTGATGCCGGCAGAGAGTTCAAGAGTCCGATGCTTCTGCTCCCTCTCCTCCTCTCCCTTCTCTCTTGTACATCTGTCCTTCACTCTACCGCCGCCTTCGTCTCCCCTTCCCCCGCCATGCCAAGTGGATTATCGATCAGGGCAACGAGGCCTTCGTGGAGAACCGCAGGAAGGTGTCCCTCCCGTCCTGTGTGGATGAGCTTAGCTGATCAACCGAGCCATGGCAAACGCAATCTCAGGAATGAGAAAAAGGATAATGCGACTGTTTCGCAGCTGATCAATCAAGGGATTCTTAGAGCAGAGCTGGGGGATTTCCTGAAAGCCAGCCATGTGACCGAGTCGATCTTAGAAGAATCGGTTCTTCCCGAGGAAGATGCTAGTGTTACAGTTGTGAACTTGGCCCTCCAGCGCGCCCTGTCCTCTTCGCTGAACCTCACTCTCTGGAACGAGATCGCCAGTGATCCATTTGTGAGCGACTAGACGCTAATCTCGAAAACCCAACGGGGCATGACTTTTCTTGCAGCTGCAATCACGTTGGAGAAATCAAGAGACCTTCAAGTCTATCCTCTATGGATATGACAGGATCTTCAGTTCTATTCCTGTTGAGAGCTTGCCGCGAAAAGACCTTTCAAAGGCGATCTCAACGCTAGCAGATCTCACCGTTACTGTTGTGCTGCACAACAACCTTGAAGAGCGCGAGGTGATGGTGAGACTGATCTCTCAGACAAGAGAGAGAATCTTGCGACATGACGTGTCCTCCTCGTCCCTTTACGTTTCCGAGTTCATGTCGAAACTGAAGAGGCTGCAGAAACTTGGTCGTCGCAGCTGCTCTTTTGTGTGTGTGACCTGATCACCTTGCAACAGAGACCAAGGAAGGCATCATGCTCCTCTTGACCATGTTGGATGCGGTCTATAACTTCCTGCATCTTCCATGTCGTGATGGTGAGCAGATGTTGGTCGCCAATCAAGAGACTTCCAGCTGCTTCGCCATGGTATGGTGCTGAAAACTACAAGTACTGGTAGCTGAGGCTGAAGACGCAGACGAGGATCGTGAGGGAGGAGCTCGAAGAGTTGGATGGGTGTTTGCATGAAATGATTCTACCTTCTGCCATCACACTGACTGCAAGTCCATAGACAAACATTTGCAAGTGAAAGCAATCAAGTCCTGCAACTGATCTTCAAAGTTGCCTCCTTACCTAGAGACACCGACCAAGTCGTCTCAGTGCGCACGACCCAAGAATTGTCTCAGAAGATCAACAAGATCGAAGCACTCAAAGAGGTAGAAAGACAGATGGATACAAGTCTTGGAGACTGACGGTCCCCCTGCTCCGTCAGGGAAACGATCTCCTGCGGAACATGCTCCGTCGCAACGTGCATGTCGACACCAAGAGTGAAGAATCGATGTGCGAGGCCTTTCTTGCCTGTGATTATCGTGCGAGCGAGGCTCTAGAGGTTTCTGGGCCCATGAGATGGTGAGGAGAGGATAACGCGCATGCAGATCGCCTTGGGAGCGATGGAGGAGTTCGAACGGTCAGAGGTGACGAGGAGTGATCTCTGGTGACGACACGTGAACATGTAAGGGAGGGATTGACTCGGCTGTCAGTGTGAACATGCTGGTGAAACTCACGCGGCGGCTGCTGAGGCAGAACGACGGTCAAGTCTTCCCCTCTTGCAGAAGTCGCGATGATGCTCAGGCACAGAGTCGGACGTGTCGGCGATCGCGGGGCTGATAGAGGTGACAGCAGCTGCTTCTTCCTCCTCCTCTAAAGATTGTGAGCAGCGAGCGATGAATCGGATCCGGAAGATGATCATCGAAGAGAACCTGATGGTCAGCCATTCCAGTGCCCCTCATCCGCAGCCCGGCCCCCCCCCGCCCCCCCCCCCTCCCCTCCTCCTCCTCCTCCTCTCCTCCTCCTCGTCTTCTTCCTCCTCCTCCTCCTAACTCACTCTCAGCCGGACATGATTCCTCTTACCCAACTGCTGGACGCTGCCGGTCGGCATGTGCCGGGTCAAGGGATCGTCGAGCTCGGCTGGTGCTCCTCCCCATCCTCCTCGTAGAGGGTTTATGACCATGTGCGGGCGGCAGTTTCCTGCTTGACCACGCGGATCAGTCAAAGCTCCCGTTCGATCTGGTCCTCTGCAACGTACTGGTCAACAACGTAGTGAGAGGGCAGACGCAGACAGAGAGCGAAGAGGTTGGGGAGTTGGGAGTGAAGACAGGAAGTGACTTGCTTGCCAGGCTGTCAAGATGTCGATCTTAGAAGTCAAGGACCTGCTGTTCGCAATGCAGGCCAAGGGAATAGCGCCTGACATCTACACAGTCACGATGGTTCGATTGGAGGAAAATGCGAAGTGATTACCTGACGAGGATGCATTGAAGATCATTGGTCTGCTGAGACGATATGCGATCTTGGGGAGTGGAGATAAAGCGATGAAGGTGAGCTGTTTGTATCTGCCGGGATTCTGATGTGAATTTGGTTGTCAGGAAGCTGATTGGGTGTTGACGATGATGGTAATGGAACTCTTTTCGACGATAAGAGAGAATGATGCAATGAAAGGATCGATATGACATCGCTGTCAACGATGTCTTTGCCAGGTGACTCGCGCTCTTTTATTCTGCCATGATGGAAGAAAGGTTGAGAATGGCGAGTAAAAAGAAGGCAATGTTTCAGAACACAAAATTATCATGAGGGTCAGGAGGAGAGAGGGAGCGGAGTAGGGCAGAGGTTTGTGCCCGGGGGGGGGGTGAGGAGGAGGGGGAGGAAGGAGATCTACGAAGACTGACTCCAATGATGGCAGGCAATATGCAGACTTGTGCTCGATATGCTGCTCTCAAAGAGCGGACGCATTAGTCTGTCTCAAGGTAGAGGAGGAGCAGGAGGAGGAGGAGCGAGCAACTGATTTTGTGTCCTTTCTCAGTTGTCCTCGTACATCTTCGAGAAGTTGTGGGAGGTGAATCGATAGATAGGGAGGTTTTGTGGGAGTCACCTGACAGCTGTGGAAGAAACAACCAGTCTGCAACTCAACGCTGACGTCCTACCTGCAAGTTTGCAGCGAGACGGCAGGTCGGGGTCTGAGGTGAGAGGGAGCGTCCTGACGCGGTGCCATGACTTGTTGAAGGATGTCGCTGACGAGGGGGAGGGCTGCGTTTCTTCGATATGCGAGCGAGCAGAACTCAAGCGCTGTGGAGCCCCTCAACTCCCTCCTCGACTGCATCGCCCAGTGACGAGCCTGACGTGCCCGACGACCATCATGACAAGCTGCGCAGGAGCGTCGGCAGCGGCATCGACTTCGGCTTCCCGCTGGCGATCAAGCTGATGAGGGGGGAGCGAGCGCGGGGAGTCCAGCTGGACATCGTGACCTTCAACACCGCCATCAAAGTTTGCGTCAAAGTCGCGCCGTCTCTTCCCAGCTGCCTGCCAGCTGATGTTGAGCTGTAGGACATCGCAATGGGTCACAAAGGGATCTCGAACATCCTCGTGGTCCTCCATGAAATGGATCGACAGGCTATTGGTGACTTGACCATCCCCTCCCCTCCCCTCTCCTCTCCTCTCCTCCCCTCTCCTCTCCTCTCCTCTCCTCTCCTCTCCTCTCCTCTCCTCTCCTCTCCTCTCCTCTCCTCTCCTCTCCTCTCCTCTCCTCTCCTCTCCTCTCCTCTCCTCTCCTCTCCTCTCCTCTCCTCTCCTCTCCTCTCCTCTCCTCTCCTCTCCTCTCCTCTCCTCTCCTCTCCTCTCATCTCATCTCATCTCCTCTCCTCTCCTCTCCTCTCCTCTCCTCTCTCCCCATAGATCTCTTTCTCTCTTTCTGCATTCCTCTTCAATCATTTCCTCATTCTCAGTGAGACTTTTTCTTTCCTTCTCGTGTTTCTTTTTCTTTCACCTGTCAACTCCTCTTTGTCTTCCTCCACTGACTTGCACCCCCACAGCACCTGATCTCATCTCCATCAATTCCATCCTCAACGCTTGCTCCAAGTCTGCTGCTGCTGGAAACCCTCACGCCTTCCCTGCTGCTTCCAGGAAAGTTTCTCACTTCTCCTTTTCCTCCTTCCTCCCCTTCCGCCCTCCCCACCTCCTCCCTTCCCATCCCCTCCACACCTCCTCCATCCTCTCCTTGCCTCCCTTGCCTCCCTCCTTTCCTACATTCCCTCCTCCCGACCTCGCTTCCTTGTACAGAGCTTCGACTGCCTCCCTCACTGTCCTTCCCCGACTTTCTTTCCTTGCCGGAGGATCGCTGACGACCATGACAGGATCGCTCAGCTCATGTTCAACGTCTGTCCCCACCCGCTTGTCCAGCAGAACTCATCCTTCCCGCAGGCCTCGCTCGACATCAACCCGGATGACTTCTCCTTCAACGCTCTCCTCCAGACCTTTCAAGCTCATGCCAAGCTCACGGTTCCTCCTCCTCCCTCGTCCTTCCCGTCCTCTCCCTTACACTCAGCTCCCCACCTGCTGCCTCTCCCTCTCCCCACACTTTCTCCCACTCTCCCTCTGAGCTCCTCCTCCTCCTTCCGCCCCTCATTCGCCTTGTCTCGCTCCTCAGGGTCGGACGTCTGGATGCTTCTCCTACTGCCGGCAAGTTCTATCGATCATGGACGAGATGGGGGTACGTCCTGCCTCCTCTTCCTTCCCTTCAGCTCCTCCTGATCTCTTCACCTGCTCTCTCTTCCTGTCCTCTCCTTCCTTTCACATTCCTCCTCGCCGTCCTCCCGCTTTCTGCTTCCTCATGGTCCTCCCCTCCTCTTCCGTCTGCTTGTCCTCAAACTTTCTCCGCGTCCTCCCTCCTGTCCACTCGCTCCCCTTGTCCTCCCTCCCTCCTCTGCCACCTCTCAATGAAGCACAGGTCCCTCCCACAGCTCCAACTTTCGCGCTCATCATCAGCAGCAGTGAGATCGAGGTGTTTGTGATGTTTCTCTTGCCCCCTCTGACTCTCATCCTGCAGGGCACACAGGAGGCAGTAGAGTCTTCCTTCGCTGTCTTCGAGGTCTGAACCACCCTCGCCCCTCCTCTTTCTCATCTTTCCTCCTCCTCCTCCACGTCATCCTCTGCTTTGATTCTCCTCTCCTTCTTCCCTGCTCTGTTTCTCCACAAGTTGCTTCTCTTGATTGCTTCTCGTCTCATCTGTTCACTTCTCATCGCTTCTTCACTCTTCACTCTTCTTCACTCTTCACTCTTCTTCACTCTTCACTCTTCTTCACTCTTCACTCTTCATCTCTTCTTCAATCTTCATCCCTTCTTCACTCTTCATCGCTTCTTCACTCTTCGCTCTGCTCCTTTTCTTCTCTCGCGTTCTACTATGAAGAGATTTTCAGTCCATCCCTCGCAAGCTCAAGACCCGACAGACTTACTTGGCAATGATGAAGTGTCTGATGAAGGAAAGTCTTCTCTCACCCTCGCTGCTTTCCCGCCTCTAACAGCCGAACAGGTCGGACGTAACAGCGAAGCTATGAACTTGCTGGTCAGACAGGATCCACCATCATCCTTCCTCCTCCTCCTCCTCCTCCTGCACTTTCCCTCCCTTCCCCCGCCTCCTCTCCCGCTCCTCCTCCCTCTTTTCTCCTTGATCGAGATTATTGCGTCGATCTTGAACGTGCTGATTTGCTACGATTTTCATACAGGATAGCAGTGCAAGTAGCGGACTAAAACCCAACCTTTACATGTACTCAGCTGCTCTGAAAGCATGCAAGGTTTTATCCTGCCCCTCCTTCTCCTCCATTCTCCTTCTCCTTCACTCTTCCTGACTTTTTCTCCTTCAGACTTCCGAGTCGCTCCAGTGGGTGCTCAATCACATGAAGAAGAACAGAGTAGAGCTCAGCGCTAACATGAGGCGACAGGCAGGAACAAAATCTTCTTCTGCTCCCTCCTTACTCCTCCCAGGTGGACAAGATGATGCAAAGTTATCGTTGAGACGCTCATGGCGACTTTCTTCATTGATCCTGCAGCCAACAACTGCGGACAAGAGGGCCGAAGGCACAGAGCAGAAGCAGCGCGAGCGAGTCCTGCTGAACAGATGAGGAGGGGCGGAGGGAGAACTGGAGACCTGAGGAGAAAGCCGACTTGCGGCACCTGCAGCAAGTTTGAGAAGAGCTCAGGAGCAAGCGAACGAGATCAGCAAGAGGAGGAGGAGGAGGAAGTGAGGAGGAACAGGAGGAGCAAGAGGAGCAGGAGGTTTGATAGGCGAGCTCACTTGTTTGACCGGAGACAGAGAGCAAGACAGCGGTAGGGAGGCCCTGCGGGACATGTGAGGAGGTGAGGGAAGGGGAGCAGGAGAACCTCGGCCTTGAGGTTGTCGTTGAGCCGCCGATCCGTCAACCTCGCGACGATCTGGAACGAACAGGAAGGAGCTGAGAGGCAGGACGAAGAGGAGGCGACTTGACATCGTGAGAGGAGAGGCGAGGAGGGCGAGAGAAGGGAAAGGGAGAGAAGCGAGGAAGAGACGATAGAGAAGCTAGTAGGCATGCTTGTTACCGTCTTGGATAAATCCTCTTCTTGACAGAGCACCTGCCGCTTGCAATGTTGGTGCTGCAGTAGCTGCTGCAGCTGAAGTACCTTGCACTCGATGATGGTCTCGGTAGATAGCGACCTGCCATCACAAGCATCGCCATCATCATCATCATCATCATCATCATCATCATCATCATCATCATCATCATCATCATCATCATCATCATCATCATCTCACCCGGACGAAGCGTCCATGCTCACAATCATCACCTGTAAGAGACTTGAGACAAGGAGGAGGAGGAGGAGGTGGTGGTGGTGGTGGTGGTGATGATGGACGTTTGCAACTCACGTTGCTGTCGAGGGTCTCAGCTGTGAGGGCGACAGCATGGATGAAGTGAGCTTGAAGGTCTTGAGAGGTAGAAGGATGAGCATCTACTGCGGACATAAACAAGCAGACAACCTGATGTGAAGTCGATGAGAACGATGGCGAGCTGAATCAGCACAGTGACGTCGAAGTTGATGGTCGGGACTGACTTCACACTGCGTCAACCATGACAAGTCAAGGCTACAAGCTTGAATGCCACTGGTTGCTCACATCGGAACACAAACTTGATCTGCGACCGAGCACCCGCCCTCGGATGTTTCTGTTGACTTGCACACTGTGACGAGACAAAGACAGGAGGATGTCTTCAGCAACAAGGTAGAACAGGAAGGGAGATGATGGAGAGAAGGCAGGAGGGATCTACCTGTACAAGGAAGACAGGATGTGGTGTACTGCGTTGAACTCGAGAAATATCCCTGCAATCACCTCAACACGTCCTCCTCCTCCTCCTCCTCCTCCTCCTCCTCCTCCTCCTCCTCCTCCTCCTCCTCTATCCCTACCGTAGGGCATGCCTTGCACTCGCCAGCGGACATACCAGCGCAGCCTGCCAGCAACTCAGCGGGGGGGGAGAGGGCGAGCTGGAGGAATGTGGGGACCGTCTCTGTATTGGCCGAGGGCACACGGGGAGCACTGGACGCAAGTTCCAGCTGTCATTCAGCTGTCACATGCCACGTCAAGGCCTCTGCCTCTGCCTCCGCACCGTGAGAGGCTGTCACGTTGCAATCGGTCAAGAACTGTCCCATCTCACACTTCGAGCAACTGCACGCCCATCATCACCCGCTCTACAAGCCCCCTGCCCTCACTTGGCAGGGATGCAGACGCGATTGGTTGTGGCTGAGCCTGCCAACAGGATCAGCTCTGCTTCACGCCTTTCAGACCCCTTACAAGCGACGATCTCCTTCTCCCCTTCAGCGCATGTGCTGCGACAGGCGACACAGGCGGAGGAAGAGGACGCTGCAGTCAGAGTCGAGAAGGAGCCTGTTGGACATGGCGAGCATGCTTCAGACCCGACTGTCGGCTTGTAGGATCCTGCAGGACACGCTTGGCAGGAGCCTGAGGAGGACGTGTATCCCGCCAGACATTGACAGGCATCAGCAGAAGTGCTCTGAGCAGGGGAAGTTGAGTACGTGGGGCAGCTGACACACTCCCTGCAGGAACCTGCTCAGCACGCAGCAGCGCTAGAGGTCAACCCACCCGCTGTCGAGGTAGAGCCCTGCTTCGCATCCCTGGGAAGGCATCACAGTGTAGACGCAGTCAGGGGACTTGAAGATGGCAGCACTCCTGGACGTTGACCATGCGGCTCGGATGGTGATGGTGCCGTCGGGAGGGACGGTGACGGAGCCAACATTGTTGTCCAGCCTCTTGCCTGTGCATCGTCCGTTGGTGAAAGGAATCGCAGAGGAAGAGGACGCGACGACTTCAATCAGGTACTCGCTACCGGTAGGCGCGGTGAAGCTGACAGGCAACAATGAGCCAGCATCGACTGTTTGTCCGCAGTCGACGGGGCTGCCACCAGAGGTCAGGCGGACAAGAGCAGCAGTGCTGTCCTGCACTGCTGTATGGGGCGAGTAGGTCGTGCTCAAGCTCAAGGACATCTCGCAGACAAGATTTTCAGGATATCCGGATGCGGTAGGCCATAAGAGCAGAGGAAGCAAGAGAAGGAGATTGAGCGTTGGCATGCGAGAGAGGAACAAGACCAGAACCATGTGAGCTTGGGAAGGAGAGAGGAGGGGCTGTTGTAGGGAGGGAGGGCAAGGAGTGAGGAGATGCTGGTGTAGGGAGGGGAGGGAGACGAGACGTAATTTACCTTCGCTTACGTTTACTGTTTCACCACCCCTCCTCTACACTTCTTCTACCCACCCCTCCAACTTGAACAGTTGCTTTGACGTCAGCCGTGCGTCACGTTGCCCACCCCTCCCTATCCCTGTAAAGAGTACCCCTCCTCCTGTAGCGCCTTGACGGTCACGTCGCTGCACCTGCTGCCTCTGACACGCTCGTTGCCTCCCCTACTACTGATTATGACTAGACTAGTACGGTAAAGTCTCGGACCAGTGCCAACTTGGCTGCACAGCGCAAGGCCGTGGCAGGCCGAGCCCGCCGGGCCCTGATGCTGAAGCCATGCACAGGTGACGCCGATCGTTAGCCGTCCGATGGTCTTGCTAAGGTCCTCTCATGGTCTATATCTCTCATGTGCTCCTCAATTCTAGTTTCGTGTGGCGCAATGATTAAACTCGGTCTTGACTCCGAGTCACTGAGCACTGGCAAAAACGGTCTTGTTGCAGCTGAGGTCGATATGATGGCATTTTGGCATAGTCACTACGCCGGGTACAAGTCTAATGCTCCGTCCGTCGGGCCGTATGGGCCCCAAGTGTGTTTCCGGGAGTCCGGTTGTTTTTCAAGCCCTAGAAAACATTCGAAGATCAAACTTGACAAACAAATCAGCCGATGATGGCCCTGGGATGAGAGGCCTAAACAAGGCCGCAGTTTTGCAGGAGACAACAGTCGGCGGCGGCAGTGAGGTACAGTACCACAGCCCAGGCCGCAGTGACGGGCGCATGCTACTAGTTCGGCAGGGCCCGGCCCCGGTAGCGGCAGGCTGTCGGAGCCGGGCCGCGAACCGTACACTCTGAGGCTGGCTCGGCTCTCACCTTCCGAGCTGAGCGAGTGTGAGGGGATGAGGGGCAGCTAGGATTCATGCAAGGGCGGGACGTGGAGTTGCGAGGGGTTGAAGGAGAGGGAGAGAGAGAGGGGGAGAGCTTGTGGTAGGAAACAGGAAGGAGGGAGAGAGGGAGAGAGGAAAGGGGAGAGAGAGCTTGTGATAGTGAAGAGGAAACGGAGAGGGATGGAGGGAGAGAGAGGAGCTCCTAAGATGAGACGTCAGTGAGAGGATGATATGAGAGGATGACAGGAGTGTGCTGGATAAAAGATCTGCATCCTTCACGCTTGGTTGACTGGTGGTGAAGCTTTTTCCTTTCAGATGTCAGAAGCTTCACTTGATGCGGATCAAGTGAAACAATACGATCGGCAAATACGTCTTTGGGGATTTGCTGCCCAACAAAAGATAACTCAGGCTCGGGTTCTGGTGCATGGCTGCTGTGGGATGTCTGCAGAGATTGTGAAGAACTTGGTTCTTGCTGGTCTGATCGACGATGGTGGGATTGCGATCGAGATTGATGGAAAGGTTTGCAGGAGTTGGGAACGTTTGCTTGATGGACGACGCCATTGCTCAAGAACAGGACCTTGGGAGCCAATTTCTGATACCTGCAGAGTGTGTCGGCAAGATGTCTCGTGCAGAAGCAAGCATCAAATCCTTACAAGAACTGAATCCCAAAGCTTCTATCAGATGCGAAAAGGGTGAAGAGAGAATTCTCGATGAAGCTTTGTAAGTTTGCCAATTCGCAAGCGAATTTGGACTTTTGACGAAATGTTTGTATGCGCGGTGTAGGTTGAAGCAATTCGACCTTGTTTGTGTTTCAGATGGAGCACCAAACATGCAGAAGCAGGTCAATGAGATCTGTCGGAAAAACAAAATCAAGTTTTTCAGCGTCAATTCGCATGGCTTCTTTGCATGCTTTTTTCTTGATCTTAACGAGCATGATTATTATGTGGAGAAGAAGGAAGGGGTACGCGATAGCCTATCCCCAAACCATTGAAGTGAGCTTGCTTCCAGGATACACAGAAAACGACAACTGAGCAGTTTCAGCTGAGATACCCTTCGATGGAGCAAGCCATGAGCACAAGCTGGTCCAAGCTCACAAAGGGAAAGGCACAAGTCAACAAACTATTCTACGCACTACAGCTCCTTCATGCCATGCAGGAGCGAGCCGGTGACGCGTGTGGGTATAGCGACAGAGTCGGGTGACGAGGCTGGCAGGATCTTCGTCTGCACCTGTGGAGAACGCTGAAGAAGTGCACCTCGTGAGAGATGAGCTTTGCAAGCGCCACTCCCTCTCGGCCTCGTGCTTCGAAGACGATCTCTTCCGCAAGCTCGCGATGCAGGTGAACAAGTGTGCGAGGAGCATGCCAAGTCTGACACTCATGGGGCAGGTGAATCTTCACGTGAGCATGGTCTGCTCTATCGTTGGCGGGATGGCCGCGGATCACATGGTCAAGGCTCTCACAGGGAAGGAGAAGCCCTTGAGGAATTATTTCATCTACGATGGCAGGGACGGGTCTGGCATTGTGCTGGATCTCGGAGCATCAGAGGACGATACTTAATGCGGGTTGAAGATATAAATGAAATGCAGATTTGGTTGAGATGAAATTCTTTTAAGTTTACACGGTCGAAGCCTCATCCAAGTAAGATAGCACTCCTCACGAGATGTCGACCTTCTGTTCCAAGAAGATGCATTTTCCCTCTTGTTCCAGCATCTGTCAGCTAGTACAGCTGCATGTACTTGCAGATGCTCTTGAACTGGTCGCGAGTAAGGTATTGCGCGTTCTCATCTTCCGACTCCGAGCAGTATCGGATGATTTCCTGCGAGCTGATCAAACTTGAGAGCTCGCGGCATGCGACTCTTACCTTGAGCTCCAAGTCTGTACATCCTGCCTGAATCACTTCCGAGATGTTCTTCAGACCAAGCCACGTGATGACTGTTGGGCAGAATTACTGGACGACACGTGAAGCCTGGTAGATACCTTTCTTGCAGTCTTCAGGTTGATGATTGCATTCCTCTGCATTACGATGCTCCAAGCAAGAATCTGCGAAATTTTCGAATTGCTCGTCAACCATCTTGCTGTTATCCTGTTCCAAGATCTTGGGTCTCATGAAAGCAAGAAATTCGGAGAATTCGATCTCTTTATTCCCGCTTGAGTCAAGTTTGTCCATGATTTGCTCGATCTTGACATTGAGACACGCATCAGTACCACACCAAGAGGGGCAAGTGAAGTCACACGTCTTCGAGCGAGTTCTTGACCTCGGGCATGAGAATGTTCATAGCGTATCTCATCTCGCTGACGTCGATGGCCTGGGGAAGCGGGTGAGCAGGAGAGGAGGAGGACTTGACGAGTTGCGCTCACCCCGCTGCCATCGGAGTCGAAGGTCTCGAAGACCTCTCGGATCTCCTGCATTTGCTCCTCCGTCAGCTCCGTTCGAACCTTGCGCCGCTGCGCCATCTTCTGCTTGTCTGCCAGTGGTCAAACGTCAGGCTGCGCGGGGATGAGGGCGATTGCTGGGAATGGCGGCTACACAATCGATTCGGGGGACGATGGGGAGGAGGAGGGAGGGAAGGAGGGAGACGAGCGATGGAGAGCGATGGAGAGGGAGGGAGAGAGAGAGAGAGAGAGGAGCCAGGGTGAAAGAGCGACGAAGATAGAAGGAAGGCGAGGGAGGGAGCAGACTGAATTCTGAGCTGCCGTTAAGTATGAGGGGTAGAGGAGTGGGTGGAGAGCTGAGAAATATGGGGAGAGAAGGGGGAAGAGACAGGACGTGAAGGATGAGAAGAGTTGAAGGAGGCAACAGGAAGATGAGGGGAGCCAAGATCTGATAACGAAAGCACGCATTGGAAGCAAGGTTGCTGGGAGGGCAGTGAAATATGAACAGGGGCAGGTAATCGAGAGTGAGCAGGAGATGGTCGGAAAGGCTGTAGGAACGTAAGACGCAAGAGTTGGAAAGGAGGAGGATGCAAAGAACGACAGCGCTGTGTCGTATCTGAATCATCGACTTGCTGAAGGAAACTTAAGAAACTTTATTTGCAGGTTCTCTCTGGTGAAATTCAAACTATCCAGGCGACGGCAGAGCCACAGAGCGATGGACGTTGTAAGATAGGAGCCCTCGCCCGTGTCACTTTCTCCAGCTGAACTATGGCGAGCTCGCTCAATGCGAAGCAGGAGAGGCAGATCTTGAAACTCATGCAGGGAGGCTGCTCTAACCTGGACATCATGAACCACCCGAGCACAGAGGATATTGAGGTGACCCTCGAGCAGCTCCAGCGCATGAGAGAGTTGTCGGGCCTTGAGGACGAGGAAGGGAAGTCGCGCAGGGGGAGGAGAGGAGAGGAACCTGAAGCTACGCGCGTGAGCGAGGTTGAGACTTCCTTGGTTCATCGAGCTCCTCCCAAGGTCTACGCCAAGATTCACTACAAGGACGAAGAGGGGCCGCTGGTGCTGAAGCGAGAGAGAAGCATCGCTGCCTCCTCCTCTGCCCGATACACGTCCTCCTTTCTCATGTCCTTCAGTCAGCAGCTCGGTCCTCTTCAGGGGATGCACACTCTTGTGGGGGTGGGCCTCTACTTCATCGTCCTGTACCTGCTCCTCCTTCTCTGTGCGCACCTGGTCTTGGCCCTTGCTAGTTGGATCCTCTCTCACAAGCTCCTCTCCCTCTTTCTGACAGCCTCTTGCTGCTACGCGTATGCCGTGCAGGTCAACGGGGAGCCGCTGACGCTGTCGGAGGCGACACGAGACAAGGTCAGGTCCTCCCTCCTGCTGCTCGTCGCCATGGCCTGCGAGAGGAGCGCGAAGATGCTCGCAGTGGCACGAGTGATGCTGCAGGGGGGCGATGAAGGCAAACCAGTGGCATCGAGCTTGCGACAAGCGAGCGAACGATCAAGTGAAGCTGCTCACGCGGCGTCATAGAAGCTTTGACCACTGTCTTTATTTACTTGTATTGCTCGTTGTCTTTGAACTAATTGGTTCTTTGAAAGTGAATACTCTCACGACTTCTTCCCTGTCCCCTCCCTTCCCTCCTCTCATCCTCTTGCTGCTCTTCCTCAACCTGCGCTGGTCTCAGTGTCGACCGTCTCCAGCCCCCTCGAAACTTTCACCTCAATCACGTTCCTGCTGTTGGAAGAGACAAGCTGCTTTCTCTCAACTCTACATCTCTCTCTTTTCAGCATCAATACCGATCTCAATCAGCGATCAGGTTGTAGATAGACCTTGCAGGCGCGGGATCAAAGAACGGGAACGACGGACAAGAGCCTTGTCCTGTTCTATATATGTCGTTGATGTTGTTGCTTCCTGGGCTGCTTTGGTTGCTTCTTCAAGCTCTCGGATTTTCCTCCAACACCTATGAGCACACAACATGAGATATCATGAGACCAGAACCTTCTCTTCCACCTTGTATGCTCAGCCGCAGGTTCCTAACGGACTTGGCTTTAGGGTCGCAGGCCCAAATGTCCTTCAAGTCCATCAAAAGTTGGAGAGGAAGAGAGAGCAGTGGGAGAGAGGAGGAGGAGGGAGAGAGAGCATTGGAAGAAAGGAGGAAGAGGGAGGTACCTTCATGTTGTCATCCCAGCAGATATTCGTCACGCTCGTCCTGATGAGACATCAGAAGCGCAGTTAAGTGAGCGTGCAGGCGGCTAGAGCGCACATGTATCTCTCGCATGACGACCCCAGCCATCTCACGCCTTCCCTTGTCATCTCGAACGCCTGGATCCTCCTGTTCCTTGACTCCGCCACCTGCCCTCTGGGGTCAAGACCCTCAGAGTCTCCCCAGCTGCTCACGAGCAAGACTCCATCTGATCGCATCGCGAGGCCTGTCGGGTAGTTCAATTCGCCGACAAATCTGCCCCAGCCGCCAACGGCCGCTCCGAGCTCAGCTCCGTTGGTTGCATTGAAACTGAGACTCAACTTCAACCCATGGCACAACTTTGACATGGCTCACAATCTCAAGACATGATTCCCGCTGTCCGCTACGATCAGCAGCAGAGGACACACTGGAGTATCTTTCACGACCAATACTGCATTGGGTAATCGCAAAGTCGTTGAAATCATCTGATACGCTTCCGCTACTTGGTTTGACTTTCAACCCAAAGTCATCTTCAGGTCCAAGAATGACTTCACTCACTTCCTGAGAGAGGTTCATGGGTAGATCTCTCCATCTCACAAACGAGCCATCTTCCTGCATGTCTGGTCAAGCAACAAGCTAGAGATACTCTGCAAGCACTCACCGGCACTTTCACTCGCATCCCTGTCAAGTTGGCATGGATGAGATACTTGCAGGTCCCGTTGAGGTACAGAGCTTGCACACAGCAGCTCTCGGGATCGCAGACCCAAACCATGTCATCAACAGTTGAAACCATGTGACTGAGAAAGCAATCAACGCACTTGTCACTTGATCTCCTACTTGTATGCATTGTCAACTCACGGAAAGGAGAAGTTTCCTGGGGTAGGAATGTGTCGTCGCTTCCGCGGCTGCAGCCTGCCTGGCAGAGAGATTGAGAGGAGGATACAAATTTGAGGTCCAGCTCACCGAGACTCAAGCAGGAGAGGGGTTCTCCCTGAAATACCCGGATGACTCCACTACCACTGCATCGTCTCAGAGCTTGTGCCCTCCCTCTCCCCACACTCCAGCACCTGTCGGCAACAAACATGCTTCCCTGCTCATTGATCGAGATCGAAGTCGGACCACGAAAGCAGTCGCTCTCGGTCCGGTATGCTATCGACTCCGTCTGGAAAGAAGATTGTGAGGGTGAAGAACAATCGCTGGAAGTAGATTGATCTTACTGCTCTGCCGGTGGACTTGTTCAACACGATGATTCTATTTCTATCTCGACATGTCAGAGGGTTCACCATGGCCGCTTGTCTCACCTGGAAACTTCAGCAACGTAGAGGTTTCGATCTCGTCCGATCTTGCAGTCCCAGGGCTCGTTCCTCAATACAACCTTCCTCACCTGCGCCCCCCGTCACCACTTGCCAGCCTCTGCAGCGCTCACGTGATGAAATTCACAACGAGAAGGTTGTGCCCGTCCTCCCACGTCTGCACAGTGTCAGAAGGAGACGCTAACAAGCTTGCGAGAAGAGCTGGCAGGATCCGAGTCCGAAACAGAAGCAGCGAAAACAAGATCGAGAGGGACAGCAAGGGAGGAGAGACAGGGAGGAGACACAAGGGAGACACAAGGGAGAAGCAAGGGAGATGATAGGAAAAAGATCCTCGTCTCTCTCCCCACCTGCCATGGACGTTTCTCTCGCCATTGCGAGTAGTAGCAGCCATAGCATCCGGCGTTAGCTGAGGCCCGGCACTGCACGTGACAGCTATGTGACTCGGACGTGCCCGGCATCGCCCCGCCCGGCCGGGCCGCCGGCGGTCAGTCACTCCGGGCATCCACCGTGACTGAAGGCCGAATGTAACGGTTAGTAACGACTCAGTTACTACCGGGAGGCCCCTAAAAAGTGATTTAGATAAGCCTGAAGGGCAGAAGTTGCCTGTCGATCTATTTTGGGGAGAATGCAGCAAGAGTCGGAGTAGCGGCAGAGGGCGAGCATGTTAGAACCTGGCTCGAGGGGAGAGAGGGAAGGTGGGAGAGGGGCCGGGGAGGTAGGGGAGGCCCTGACCTCGGAGGGAGCGGCAGAAGGCAGGTAGGAGGATGACAGCGAAGAGGAAGGAAGAAAGGGCTGCGAGAAGGAATGTGCCTGGGGTAACGATGTGCTCAACGCAGCATGTTCGCTCTTATCCGACAAGCTACTTCTTTGCTCTACATCGGCTCTATCGGAGTCGAGGGAGGACAGGGTCCCTCTGATTACCTCTACGGTAAGGGCACGAGACAGTGTTGCTCTGCTTCGCTGACGCTGCTGCAGGCGACTACGACCTCACCGAGCGCAGAAACGTCAGGTCGGGCCTCGGAGACGACGAGGGCATGCCCGAGTACGCCACGGGAGATATCTATGTGAGGCTGAGGAGAGAAGCTCTGCGAGCCCCTGACTGTCTGCTGCAGGACCCTTGAAGCGCCCGCGCAGTAGACGCAGGTGTTGTATAGATTGAAGCTTGTCCTGAGTATCGAGAAGTTCTCTATCAGACGAAGATGAATCAAAGCTTGAAACTAGATCACTGCTCCGCTCCTCTAACCTAACGCCACTCCCTCTATCATCTGCTCTGTGAAGTCCTGGCGCAACCTCAAAACCTCCCGAGCTTCCTCCGCTGTCAGTGCTGCTCCATCCGTCTCCTGCATCACATCGACCGCGTCTGCGACCTGGGACAGCCATCACAGCATGACCGAGTGACGGCACGCGAACTCACCCTAGTCACTGAGAGAAGATAGGAGATCACGCGCAGTCGGTAGAGCACTTGACGACCGTCAGCGTCGCTAACGTCCCCCCCCTGCAAGTCTTGAGACCCTGAGCACAGAAAGGCGGGCCAACCTCCTCGTCCTCGTCCTCGTCTTCCTCTCCTCCCACCCCCTCAGCTTGACGGACTTTCGATCCTCCGCAGAAGAGATTCGCGATTCCTCTGCTCGCTCGTCGCTCAGCTCGAAACTTGAGCATCTCCCTCAGACCTGATCTGAGCCTCCAGGCAGTGGCCGCCAGCCTCGGAGAACTTCTTCTGCTTCACCGCCTGCACAGAAGATGAGGAGGAGGGAGGGAGGAGCCGAGAGAGCGACCGCTTCCAGTCTGCTGGCAATGAGCCTCAGCATGTCGAGCAGGAGATCTCTGAAGACAGATCTCTTGCAAACAGCCTGCAGGAGCTTCACGTAGGTGAACAACAAGAGCAAGTAGCTGACGGACCCGCAGGGGAACGAGAATCTGCGAGGAGTCAGCGAGAGGGTCGACAGTCTCCTCGTCTCACCTCCTCTATCGCTCGCTCAAGTCGTTTGATCAAGACGTCACCAGAGGATTTCTCGCTCAGCTGCAGGCAGATGTCAGCTGGGCCTCAGGTAAGCGCAGGAGGGTTACAGGAGGAGCGTTGCTTCCTGTCTTCTTCATCACTGAGAGGATTGATCGAGTCGCCTGCTCCTGCTGTACGAAAACCTGACAACACAGTCAACATATGTTGAGCTCAGAGCCGAGTAAAGGTGAAGAGAAGAAATGTGAGTAGAGGAGAAGATGTAAGCACAACTTGATCTTGGTGGTCAGCCGCAAAGTTGGCACGAGAGACGATTCTATCAATGTGTCCGACCACGTCTGCTAGGGATGTCAACACGTCTGTCCCTCTCACCCGCTGCTCCTCCTCCCCTCGCTGTCACTTCACCTGGTGCGATCAAGTCCACCACCGTCCTCATCGATTCAGTCCTCAACTTCTCCAGCCCTGCAGCCTCTCCCTCACCTTCCCCACCATGCCAGCCAGCAGCTTCTGCTGCCACCTGACTTTATGTCGTCCAGCTCAGTCTGCATGGCCATGACGGAGCCACTGGCGGTCTGAGAGCAGGCAGATGAGAGGAGGACGAGAGAGGGAGATGAGAGACGAGGGGAGGAAGAAGAAAACTACAAGGAGCGCAATGCTGAGGACAGGACCGGGAAAGTTGACATGAAGTTGGCGGACAAGAAGTTTCTTGTCTTGACTGTGTATTCCACTGCCAGCGACACGTTGTTGAGATGATCGGTGAGCTGAGAAGCCTGTTGACACCATCTCAATCTAGTTGGGCGAGGTTCAGACTTACCTCTCTGCTTGTTAGCTTCCTTGCCTTCACTTTCATCTCATTTCCTTCTCTGTATGGATTTTCAGCCTCCTCCTCCTCCTCCTCTTCCTCCTCCTCCCTTCCTCCTCTCAGGAGCAGTCCTCACCCGAAGAGTGGCTGCTGAATCTTGTCGCGGACGATCTCTACCACACTGAGCAGGACAACCTCAGCTGACTTCCTCGTTCTTCTCCCCCACCTGTTGGCGATCGGCAGCGCGGCGATCAAGGTAGAGCAGCGGAATGCTCGCATGCTGGAGGCAAGTGAGACAACACCGCTGGTGAGACAACAAGTTTCGTGCTCTCACCAGCACTTGCGGACGAGGAAGAAGAAATCTTCAAGCAGACTGCTCGAGTTGCTCTCCTCAATGTTCTTCTTGGCTCCTGACGCCTGAAAAACATCTTACTTCTCATCTCCCTCTTCACTCATCCTCCCTTCCTCCTCCTCCTCCTCCTCCTCCTCCTCCTCCTCCTCCTCCTCCTGTTACCTTTTCAACACACGTATTGAAGTAGAAGGTCTCGAGGAGAACATAATGTCCAGAGAGAGTCTGAGGACCCTGTCATCCCCGCATCCCCGCCCTCTCTTCGTTTTCTCCGTCAACCTGAAGTTCGTCGCTCAGCCTCTTGCTGAAGATGATCTGATTTCTCGCGCCTGCTGCACGTCAACCGACCGACTAAGAACAGCAGCAGACTACCCATGTGCTTCCCAGCGAAGCCTTCGAACTTGTAGCAGATCTTGAGAGAAATCAGATCCCGGGGGAGAGGAAGAGGGGAGGAGAAAAGGGGAGGAGAAGAAGAGGAAGGGAGGGGACGGAGGGGAGTGAAGTGGAGGGAAGGGAAGGAGGGGAGAGAGGGGAAGGAGGAGACCTTCAAGAGCTGGCTGAGCTCTTCCAATCGTTCATCGACTTCATCGCAGTGAGAGGAGAGGAGGAGGAGAGCAGTCGCGAGGTACCTCTGAGAATGGAAGCTTTCAACTCGGCAATGCTCTCCTCGCTGAAGAAGACGAGGAGTGAGAAATCTTAAGGTGAAGGCAAAGAGTAAGAGACCTGCCCTCTTGTGTCTGCTGTACGAGAGCGGAGATGTCTCTATCTTTGATGAAGAGCTCAACGAGCTTCAAAATGCCCTTTATCACAAGTTTCAGCTCCCAGACTGCGCATGTTCGCTCGCTGTTCACCTCTGAAGCTGTTGTCAAAGTCTGCTGCAAGAAGATTTCGAGAAGTTGACGGTCATTGATATCACTTTCTGCCTGTGACCAGAGAAGAAGATGAAGAGTCAAGAAAGCAAGGAGGGAGGAGTGAGGGAGGAGGGAGGGAGGAGTGAGGAGGAGGAGGAGGAGGAGGAGGACACGTCCCCATGCAACTCGAACTGCTGTAAACTGGACGCGAAGATCATTTCCCTCCATGTACTTCATTTCCTCATCAACATGATTTGATGCATCACCGAGCATTTCTGTCTGCTCATCGAAAGAACGTCTGCCCCGTGCTCGCAGACTTGGGAATACCGTTTGAAAGAGCCTTTCCTTGCGATGCGATG